CCCCCGATCTACAATTAGCCCGTTGGACAAACCTTAAAGAAAGCGGGACACAGCTCAATGGAGGGAGATTCACATCAGACCGGTTAAGGCAGCAACCAGCACAGAAATTGCTTGTGACAACAGCGTCTCCCCAGGTGTTATTTATATCCCTGATTGTTCTGTCAAATTACTAACCAGGCGGTGTAGGCGTGGCCAACCCGCCGGTTACATATAGTAAACGAGAAACGAGCGCGCATGCGCACGGACATCAAAGGCGCATGACGTCAATGATTAAACCTAACCTAAGGGTGGGAGGCTCCGTTTATTTTAAAACGTTAAGAAGATTACTACACAAGGAACAACATACAACATTTGTATGAAAATGAAGTCGAGCACGGATTACACGGAGCTGCTCAACATGTGTTACATGATGCAGGTCAACACACTGAAAGACCAATTTAGGAAATTCACTGGTTTGAACCACAGTGGGAGACTACGGTTGATAGAGTTTCTGCTGGATGAAAACGACAGTCAAGACGTAGCGTTAACAGCTGCCAAAAAAAGGGCAGACATATTAAACGTACAATTACAGGAGATGCTCTACAAAACCAACAGGCGTGCAGCTGACCAAAGCAAGGTTGTCAAAGATTTGGAGGAAAAGGGACCAAAAGCCATGACAAGTAGAGAGGACCTCTCCAATATCAACACAGTGAAAGAGCAAATTAGGCAATCACTAAAGATTGATTGTCCTAACCACATTAGGACACAACAGAGGATCGAGTTTCTGCTGGATGAAAACGACCGTCAAAAAAAAGAGTTACAAGCTGCCGAAGACAGGGCTTACAACTTAATGATGCAAATAGACGCGCTGCTACACAAAACCAACAGGCGTGCAGCTGACCAAAGCAAGGTTGTGAAACATTTGGAGGAAAAGGGACCAAAAGCCATGACAAGTAGAGAGGACCTCTCCAAATGTATTATAATCAAACAAAAACAAAGTACACTGCACTATGGGGACACAGAGAAAGAAATGCCGCCTGTACAGACCACAGAGGGACCACCCTCAGAGGATATGTGTAAAACACAGGAGCTCCGAGAGTCTACACCGGAGCTTGAAAAGTCGACAAAGACTGCATATCATAGGGTAAAGTCCTTTGACAATAAAAAAAATTTAAGAAGAGCCAAGGTTGCCCCAATGACTGCATCAGTCTTTGGGGTACAAAAGCGTGCAGAGAAGGTACATCCTCTGCGCCAAAATCGAGAGGATGTACTTACTAGCCTAACTATTACGAAAAAGGCACTGCACCCTAGGCAGGCAGATCACGGGAGGCTCAGACAGCCTACACCCGATCATAAAAAAGACATGGCGCAGACCACAGAGGGACCACCCTCAGAGGATATGTGTAAAACACAGGAGCTCCGAGAGTCTACACCGGAGCTTGAAAAGTCGACAAAGACTGCATATCATAGGGTAAAGTCCTTTGACAATAAAAAAAATTTAAGAAGAGCCAAGGTTGCCCCAATGACTGCATCAGTCTTTGGGGTACAAAAGCGTGCAGAGAAGGTACATCCTCTGCGCCAAAATCGAGAGGATGTACTTACTAGCCTAACTATTACGAAAAAGGCACTGCACCCTAGGCAGGCAGATCACGGGAGGCTCAGACAGCCTACACCCGATCATAAAAAAGACATGGCGCAGACCACAGAGGGACCACCCTCAGAGGATATGTGTAAAACACAGGAGCTCCGAGAGTCTACACCGGAGCTTGAAAAGTCGACAAAGACTGCATATCATAGGGTAAAGTCCTTTGACAATAAAAAAAATTTAAGAAGAGCCAAGGTTGCCCCAATGACTGCATCAGTCTTTGGGGTACAAAAGCGTGCAGAGAAGGTACATCCTCTGCGCCAAAATCGAGAGGATGTACTTACTAGCCTAACTATTACGAAAAAGGCACTGCACCCTAGGCAGGCAGATCACGGGAGGCTCAGACAGCCTACACCCGATCATAAAAAAGACATGGCGCAGACCACAGAGGGACCACCCTCAGAGGATATGTGTAAAACACAGGAGCTCCGAGAGTCTACACCGGAGCTTGAAAAGTCGACAAAGACTGCATATCATAGGGTAAAGTCCTTTGACAATAAAAAAAATTTAAGAAGAGCCAAGGTTGCCCCAATGACTGCATCAGTCTTTGGGGTACAAAAGCGTGCAGAGAAGGTACATCCTCTGCGCCAAAATCGAGAGGATGTACTTACTAGCCTAACTATTACGAAAAAGGCACTGCACCCTAGGCAGGCAGATCACGGGAGGCTCAGACAGCCTACACCCGATCATAAAAAAGACATGGCGCAGACCACAGAGGGACCACCCTCAGAGGATATGTGTAAAACACAGGAGCTCCGAGAGTCTACACCGGAGCTTGAAAAGTCGACAAAGACTGCATATCATAGGGTAAAGTCCTTTGACAATAAAAAAAATTTAAGAAGAGCCAAGGTTGCCCCAATGACTGCATCAGTCTTTGGGGTACAAAAGCGTGCAGAGAAGGTACATCCTCTGCGCCAAAATCGAGAGGATGTACTTACTAGCCTAACTATTACGAAAAAGGCACTGCACCCTAGGCAGGCAGATCACGGGAGGCTCAGACAGCCTACACCCGATCATAAAAAAGACATGGCGCAGACCACAGAGGGACCACCCTCAGAGGATATGTGTAAAACACAGGAGCTCCGAGAGTCTACACCGGAGCTTGAAAAGTCGACAAAGACTGCATATCATAGGGTAAAGTCCTTTGACAATAAAAAAAATTTAAGAAGAGCCAAGGTTGCCCCAATGACTGCATCAGTCTTTGGGGTACAAAAGCGTGCAGAGAAGGTACATCCTCTGCGCCAAAATCGAGAGGATGTACTTACTAGCCTAACTATTACGAAAAAGGCACTGCACCCTAGGCAGGCAGATCACGGGAGGCTCAGACAGCCTACACCCGATCATAAAAAAGACATGGCGCAGACCACAGAGGGACCACCCTCAGAGGATATGTGTAAAACACAGGAGCTCCGAGAGTCTACACCGGAGCTTGAAAAGTCGACAAAGACTGCATATCATAGGGTAAAGTCCTTTGACAATAAAAAAAATTTAAGAAGAGCCAAGGTTGCCCCAATGACTGCATCAGTCTTTGGGGTACAAAAGCGTGCAGAGAAGGTACATCCTCTGCGCCAAAATCGAGAGGATGTACTTACTAGCCTAACTATTACGAAAAAGGCACTGCACCCTAGGCAGGCAGATCACGGGAGGCTCAGACAGCCTACACCCGATCATAAAAAAGACATGGCGCAGACCACAGAGGGACCACCCTCAGAGGATATGTGTAAAACACAGGAGCTCCGAGAGTCTACACCGGAGCTTGAAAAGTCGACAAAGACTGCATATCATAGGGTAAAGTCCTTTGACAATAAAAAAAATTTAAGAAGAGCCAAGGTTGCCCCAATGACTGCATCAGTCTTTGGGGTACAAAAGCGTGCAGAGAAGGTACATCCTCTGCGCCAAAATCGAGAGGATGTACTTACTAGCCTAACTATTACGAAAAAGGCACTGCACCCTAGGCAGGCAGATCACGGGAGGCTCAGACAGCCTACACCCGATCATAAAAAAGACATGGCGCAGACCACAGAGGGACCACCCTCAGAGGATATGTGTAAAACACAGGAGCTCCGAGAGTCTACACCGGAGCTTGAAAAGTCGACAAAGACTGCATATCATAGGGTAAAGTCCTTTGACAATAAAAAAAATTTAAGAAGAGCCAAGGTTGCCCCAATGACTGCATCAGTCTTTGGGGTACAAAAGCGTGCAGAGAAGGTACATCCTCTGCGCCAAAATCGAGAGGATGTACTTACTAGCCTAACTATTACGAAAAAGGCACTGCACCCTAGGCAGGCAGATCACGGGAGGCTCAGACAGCCTACACCCGATCATAAAAAAGACATGGCGCAGACCACAGAGGGACCACCCTCAGAGGATATGTGTAAAACACAGGAGCTCCGAGAGTCTACACCGGAGCTTGAAAAGTCGACAAAGACTGCATATCATAGGGTAAAGTCCTTTGACAATAAAAAAAATTTAAGAAGAGCCAAGGTTGCCCCAATGACTGCATCAGTCTTTGGGGTACAAAAGCGTGCAGAGAAGGTACATCCTCTGCGCCAAAATCGAGAGGATGTACTTACTAGCCTAACTATTACGAAAAAGGCACTGCACCCTAGGCAGGCAGATCACGGGAGGCTCAGACAGCCTACACCCGATCATAAAAAAGACATGGCGCAGACCACAGAGGGACCACCCTCAGAGGATATGTGTAAAACACAGGAGCTCCGAGAGTCTACACCGGAGCTTGAAAAGTCGACAAAGACTGCATATCATAGGGTAAAGTCCTTTGACAATAAAAAAAATTTAAGAAGAGCCAAGGTTGCCCCAATGACTGCATCAGTCTTTGGGGTACAAAAGCGTGCAGAGAAGGTACATCCTCTGCGCCAAAATCGAGAGGATGTACTTACTAGCCTAACTATTACGAAAAAGGCACTGCACCCTAGGCAGGCAGATCACGGGAGGCTCAGACAGCCTACACCCGATCATAAAAAAGACATGGCGCAGACCACAGAGGGACCACCCTCAGAGGATATGTGTAAAACACAGGAGCTCCGAGAGTCTACACCGGAGCTTGAAAAGTCGACAAAGACTGCATATCATAGGGTAAAGTCCTTTGACAATAAAAAAAATTTAAGAAGAGCCAAGGTTGCCCCAATGACTGCATCAGTCTTTGGGGTACAAAAGCGTGCAGAGAAGGTACATCCTCTGCGCCAAAATCGAGAGGATGTACTTACTAGCCTAACTATTACGAAAAAGGCACTGCACCCTAGGCAGGCAGATCACGGGAGGCTCAGACAGCCTACACCCGATCATAAAAAAGACATGGCGCAGACCACAGAGGGACCACCCTCAGAGGATATGTGTAAAACACAGGAGCTCCGAGAGTCTACACCGGAGCTTGAAAAGTCGACAAAGACTGCATATCATAGGGTAAAGTCCTTTGACAATAAAAAAAATTTAAGAAGAGCCAAGGTTGCCCCAATGACTGCATCAGTCTTTGGGGTACAAAAGCGTGCAGAGAAGGTACATCCTCTGCGCCAAAATCGAGAGGATGTACTTACTAGCCTAACTATTACGAAAAAGGCACTGCACCCTAGGCAGGCAGATCACGGGAGGCTCAGACAGCCTACACCCGATCATAAAAAAGACATGGCGCAGACCACAGAGGGACCACCCTCAGAGGATATGTGTAAAACACAGGAGCTCCGAGAGTCTACACCGGAGCTTGAAAAGTCGACAAAGACTGCATATCATAGGGTAAAGTCCTTTGACAATAAAAAAAATTTAAGAAGAGCCAAGGTTGCCCCAATGACTGCATCAGTCTTTGGGGTACAAAAGCGTGCAGAGAAGGTACATCCTCTGCGCCAAAATCGAGAGGATGTACTTACTAGCCTAACTATTACGAAAAAGGCACTGCACCCTAGGCAGGCAGATCACGGGAGGCTCAGACAGCCTACACCCGATCATAAAAAAGACATGGCGCAGACCACAGAGGGACCACCCTCAGAGGATATGTGTAAAACACAGGAGCTCCGAGAGTCTACACCGGAGCTTGAAAAGTCGACAAAGACTGCATATCATAGGGTAAAGTCCTTTGACAATAAAAAAAATTTAAGAAGAGCCAAGGTTGCCCCAATGACTGCATCAGTCTTTGGGGTACAAAAGCGTGCAGAGAAGGTACATCCTCTGCGCCAAAATCGAGAGGATGTACTTACTAGCCTAACTATTACGAAAAAGGCACTGCACCCTAGGCAGGCAGATCACGGGAGGCTCAGACAGCCTACACCCGATCATAAAAAAGACATGGCGCAGACCACAGAGGGACCACCCTCAGAGGATATGTGTAAAACACAGGAGCTCCGAGAGTCTACACCGGAGCTTGAAAAGTCGACAAAGACTGCATATCATAGGGTAAAGTCCTTTGACAATAAAAAAAATTTAAGAAGAGCCAAGGTTGCCCCAATGACTGCATCAGTCTTTGGGGTACAAAAGCGTGCAGAGAAGGTACATCCTCTGCGCCAAAATCGAGAGGATGTACTTACTAGCCTAACTATTACGAAAAAGGCACTGCACCCTAGGCAGGCAGATCACGGGAGGCTCAGACAGCCTACACCCGATCATAAAAAAGACATGGCGCAGACCACAGAGGGACCACCCTCAGAGGATATGTGTAAAACACAGGAGCTCCGAGAGTCTACACCGGAGCTTGAAAAGTCGACAAAGACTGCATATCATAGGGTAAAGTCCTTTGACAATAAAAAAAATTTAAGAAGAGCCAAGGTTGCCCCAATGACTGCATCAGTCTTTGGGGTACAAAAGCGTGCAGAGAAGGTACATCCTCTGCGCCAAAATCGAGAGGATGTACTTACTAGCCTAACTATTACGAAAAAGGCACTGCACCCTAGGCAGGCAGATCACGGGAGGCTCAGACAGCCTACACCCGCATGAAGAAATAAGATGTGGCTCTGTGATTGTCCTACACTGATTAGGAAAAGACCAACTCCCATTTGACATCAGTAAATTCAACCATTAAAAAAGTCTGGCCATCACCTGGCATGGACCTGTAACCTGTAAATGTCACACTGAGGTGCTTTAAAGTCTCACAGCCATATCTAATGTTAGAGGTTAAAAGTCCTCAGCCTTCTGTGACGTGGCTCCCTGAAACGCCAAATCACCTGCAGTCAGCTCTTCATCCAATCACTGCAGAGGAGGCCCTGTTTTCCCTGAAAACCTTTGCACTGAAGGTTTTAAAAAGGAATGCCCTGTGTGTAAACATCACAACACTGCCCTGTCACAGTCATTAAAAATGCTCAAAGTCCTCAGTGGCAGTCAGTGTACAACAGAGCTGAACTGTGCATCATGTCCTCAGTAGTGATAGACTCTGATCTGGTTGTTATCGTCCAGGCCCAGCTGGATTAGGCTGCTCTTGGAGGACGAGGGCTGATAGCGAGTGAACAGAGGTCTGGAAGGCAGAGTTAAAGACAATGAAAGGCACAACACTGTGTTCATACAACAGTCTGACAGTGATGGTGTGCTTTGGCAATAATGTGAAGTAGCAAAGGTTTATCAGACAAGTAAAAAATCTAGCTGAATACATCAATAACTTCATGATACACATGGTTACTCCTTGGGACATGCATGGACATGCCCATCTCATTTGCATTAACTTAAGGCAATTAAAAATTTGAACAAAATTAGGGATTACTGCTTGGGAGAAAAGAGAATTGATAAACGATATGGCAAATACCTATATAAATAAAAAATGAAAATAGTTTATAGATAAAATGAGCTGGTGAGAGGTCAAAATAACACTACAATACATTTAGTTTTTATCAGCTGATTTGTTGCTCTTTTGCTGTATGGATTGATTGGACTGATAGGTTACTACATATGGTAACAGTTGATAACACTATTATCCAACCCTAACCTATCATACAATCTCTGAATCTATCCCTATGTGTTGTTTTTTACACAGTACTAATATTTATGTGTGTGGATGAGCATATTTGACAAAAGGATACATGCTGGTGTCCTTCTTGCGCAACTCCAGCCACCTCTTGTTTCCGTCAATCAGCCCCTGTAGCCTCTGACTGTCCACCTGCGCTGACTTCTGCATGGACCGCAGGCTATGACCAAGTTCACTGAGACACACAGTTTCAGGTTTGTTGTCAGAAGTTTAAGAAAACCAGGATGTGTATGTAAGCTGGTAACAACTACATGAGTAAATGTGTATTGCAGGTTACCTAGCAGGAGTGTATGATGAGTAAGCTGAGGAAGTCCTCATTGTGCTAGAGGCGACTGGGTTCATAGCTGCTCCTGGGGAACAGAACAATAGCTCAGGACCAACAACAATCATTACAACTGGTAAAACCTCTTTTCAATAAGTCACATAGTAATATGACGCATCTGTTGGGATACCAGGGAAAATCTGGCTCCATCGGCTGTTGATGAGGTCCTCAGAGGCCCTTAATCCACTGCTGATGGGAGCGCTGTAGAGCGGGGTGGCTGCAGAGTGGCCTTGAGGTGCCCAGCTCCAGGATGGCTCTGAGAGCCTCACTGGGGGAGGTGGGGCTAAGGAGCTGGGGCCCAGGGTGTGCATCTGGGGCATGACCGGGGCAGAGGTGGAGAAGGAGGAAGCTGGAATAGAGTGAGGCTGAGACAGAAGCAGAGGGAAGGCTGTGTAAGGTGCGGCATTCTGCCTCTGAGCTAGTGATCCCAATGCACTCAACACAGTGTTGAGCTGGACTGAGATCTGCTGCAGAGACTCTGCTAACTCCTGGACTTTGGCCGGGACGGTGGGAGGACCTCCTGGCCAGAGGGTATTGGAGAAGAGAAAGGCGTAGAGATGAAATAACAGATAACAGGTGTGGCCTGACTATAATACTTAGAGCGGCTGTTAAAAATATAAGGATCTATGGCAAATGTAGGAAATATCAGAAACACCAACAAACTGAAGAAAAATAATGTCAGTAAATTAAAAGAAAATTAATGGTTATTTAAAAATACTTTCTTTTTAGCCAATGAATTTGTCATTTTGTCAAAAAAGACCCAAGTGTGTTGCAGTACCTGTCCTATCCGGTGGCTCCATTGTGCTGCTGAGGTCAGACTCGGTCACATCGAACGTCACCTTCCTTTCTCCTGTTACTCGAGACAGATCCTCAAACTAAATGTACAAAGCAACAAGACAGAATGCTGTTATAGAGAGATATTACTTTTTGTATAGTATGTGTGTGCAGAAAATGGGAATATTAAACACAATTTTTCCACCCAAAATGAATAAATCCAAATACCCATTCTTTGTAGATATTAAGCTACAAGTAATATTTCACTTTAGTACATCTAAATCCAGTTCATACAGTCATTAAACTACATTTCCAGAAGCAGAACACATATTTTTGTTGCCACAGAGAGCGCTATTAAAAGTATTTTCATAGTTCTTCTTGTTTGTCAGTGTTTTCTGAATTTTCAGATGCATCTGTAGTTGCTGATTGATTATCCTCTGTGGTGAAAATACAAAAATGCTCAACCAAAGTGATGTATCATTTTAAGTAAGGGCACAATCAGATACAGGCTGATGTTCTCTCTTTACCTCTTCAGCTAGAGATCTCTCCAGATGCTGGAGTTGCTCCTCTTTCCTTCTCAGAAGAGAGTTTCCTTTCTGAACGGTCTGCTGCAGCTCCGCCACATTTCTGGCCTCCTGACCGGACAAGGAAAAAGTAACCAGCATTTACAACCTGTTTTAAATGAATCCCATCCCACCAATCAACAAGCCAGTTCTACAGGAGGTGCACACTACATACCTGCTGGAGGCTTCTTATCATCTCTTCAGTCACCCCTCCTTCCTGGTTGGGGTCCTGGGAGGAGCTGCTTTGGGCCGCCTGTAGAGCTGCCTGTCTCTCCATCAGCCGGGTGCTCTCCATCTCCAAGAAGAGCTTGGTCCTCTGGTTGGTGGCGCCATGTGAGGAGATGTAGCGTCGAAACCTGGACACAGGAGGGATAAGGGCTGTGTTTAATGACACACTTACTGTCTATGGGAAGAACTGTACCTTATACGACTGTAATGCAATATTTTAATCGCATTGTACAGCATGGGCATTAGTAGTAGTAGTAGTTGTACCATCATTACTGTGGTACTAAAGCCACGACAATCACATATATATGTACACTAATTACTGTATCTGCAATTCTGATTTAAAAATCACATGTGATTTAAGACAAGCAATTAAACGACTCCCCAGAAATTCACAACAACTCTATGCCTAAATACTTTTGTACACATAATTCTGCTCTACATGTCTATCTGTCTCTCCTTACTCATCCATGCTGCTGTGGCTGTCCAGAACGGGGGAGAGTGGCGGATCGTCCAGGTCTTCAACATGAAGCGATGAGTCCCTCCTGTCACTGAAGGGCACTGTCTCCTCTGCTTTCTCTGCCTTCTGTTTGTCCTGTTTACTTTCTGGTCTCGGGGAGGTGCTCGCTCCTTCACCTTGTTCCAGCTCACTGCCCAGACAAAACAACACCATAACCCCTTTGAAATGCAAACAAGCTTGAAATGTTGGTTTCATTTTTTTCAAGTCTGTAGTAAATCAAGTATGATGATCTTCTCCACAAAGGTTTTGCAGTTGGCAGTACTCTGTCACATACTGTCAACCTACATAATAAGAAATGGAATGGTTTGAACCTGTTTTGATGCAATCTGATTACATCAGCAGTTCTGTTTGACTTTTTTATTTGAGTGCTGACAGAAGAAGAGAAGTATAATTTAAGTCAAACTGGTCAAAAGGGTTTTTGTTACTATTGCGATAAAGTCTGTGAACTTTTATTTTGAAGGAAACGGTTTCTTTTAGGGTTTCAATATCTTGCACAGGTAAACTGTACCTGACTCTGTGGCTGAGACGGTCACATCTCTCCTGCAGCAGCGCCACCTTGCTCTCCAGTTGCTCCTTTTCCTCCTTGGCTCTCTTGCTCTCTTCCCTGGCTTTATCTCTCTCCTCTCTCAGCCTCTCCTCCACCTCTTTAGCCTCGTTCTTTTCCTCCCTGGCTTTCTGGATGAGTTCTCGGGCTTGATGTTTCTCCGCTCTCATCCTCTCCAGCTCCATCTTTAGCTGGTCTCTCTCCTGCATGAGCCTGGGTAAGGCCTGAAGACACACAGGTGGAGAAATATAAGGCTGGCTGATGGCAGGGGTGGGTGAATATAACCACTCTTCTCATAGGGAAACATTAGACTTCTCACCTCAATCTGTCTGTCCAGGTCCTCCTTTTCCTCCCCAAGCTTTTTCCTTCTGCTTTTAAGATCTGCTGCCTGATATATAAAAAAACCCATTACTCTTTGTGGTTCAGGTTAGAATACTGGTGATTAAGAGTACAGTACATTAAGTATAGAACAGAAGACCTTGATCTGAAGCATGACCTCCTGGCTCTTCAGTTCATTGGTTCTAAGCTCCAAATTATCTGCCAAATCCTGCAGTTCGGACTCCTAATATAAGAAATAAAACATTTATTTTCTAGAATAAGGTGTTTGTGTTTTCCTGTCTGTAATACCAAATTCCCACAGAAGGATATTTAGTAAGGCACAGCTGGCTTAAGAAGAAAAGGCCTCCCCTTGATGTTTAATACTGGACATAGAAAAATGTTCTATTATCGGATGTGAATGTAAACTATGCACTTAAATACATCCAGAAACCACCTGTGATAGCAGGTGGAAACAAGGCCTTGAGAGCAATTGATTTTAGAATTTGAATGGAAGTGTAATGCTACCAAAGGTGCAGCACTGCATCGTTAGGAAATGTGTTAAACTGTTAGTAAATCTGTGCCATCTCACCTTACGTGAATGTATCAGCTGTGTCTTTTCTATCTGCGCGTCCAGCTGCAGACGGAGTCTCTCCAGCTGGACAGCATGTGAAGCCTGGAGACGTTCTCTTTCCTCCTGCAGAGTAGATTGCAAGCGCTCTCTCTGAACAGTCTCCTGGAACACACACACATATCATCTTTTAATTGCCACATATATGACAACCTTTTTTTCTTAAAAACAAAACATGAGAACTGAAAAACATAGGAATCCTGAAAATCTGAAAATCACACAAGTGTGGTGCTGCCACTCAGAGAACAGTGGCAGGTTTGTTACTGAAAACTATCAAAATATGCAAGTACTACTTTTTTAAAACTAGTTACCTTGGGTGAATATAACCACTCTTCTCATAGGGAAACATTAGACTTCTCACCTCAATCTGTCTGTCCAGGTCCTCCTTTTCCTCCCCAAGCTTTTTCCTTCTGCTTTTAAGATCTGCTGCCTGATATATAAAAAAACCCATTACTCTTTGTGGTTCAGGTTAGAATACTGGTGATTAAGAGTACAGTACATTAAGTATAGAACAGAAGACCTTGATCTGAAGTAGATTATGACCCATGGAACAACTAATTAGATTTTGGTGCTGATCTGTATCATAATTTGGATTTTTTTTTAAAGATTATTCACCACTGTAAGTGCTGGAAAGGCTGCTGACTGACTTTGAGACCCCTTGTGGCCAAAGTGTGCTGCTGTGCTGCTAAACACTCCAATACAGTGAGGAACAGAAGTATTTGAACACCCTGCGATTTTGCAAGTTCTCCCACTTAGAAATCATGGTATACTGGAGATAGAAAAATCTTCTATTATCGGATGCAAATGTAAACTATGCACTTAAATACATCCAGAAACCACCTGTGATAGCAGGTGGAAACAAGGCCTTGAGAGCAATTGACCCAGATGACAGAGATTTTGAGCCAGACTCACAACTTTTCATTCATAGGACTGGTGTTATGCCACTTTATTAAGTTCTGACATTTCAGGTGAGGAAGTAATTTGTTGTCAGTCTATCCAAGTAATGTCAATTTAGAAATTTGCAGACGGAGTCTCTCCAGCTGGACAGCATGTGAAGCCTGGAGACGCTCTCTTTCCTCCTGCAGAGTAGATTGCAAGCGCTCTCTCTGAACAGTCTCCTGGAACGCACACATCATCTTATAATTACCACATATATGACAACCTTTTTTTCTTAAAAACAAAACATGAGAACTGAAAAACATAGGAATCCTGAAAATCTGAAAATCACACAAGTGTGGTGCTGCCACTCAGAGAACAGTGGCAGGTTTCTTACTGATATCAAAATATGCAAGTACTACTTTTTTAAAACTAGTTACCTTCGCCATGGACATGGGTTATGTTTTGGCCAGCGTTTGTTGCTTTTTTTGTTTGTTAAAAATTCAAAAAGCAGTGAAGAGATTTTGATGAAATTTGATGGAGAGGCAGGGTATGACCGATGGAACAACTGATTAGATTTTGGTGCTGATCTGTATCATAATTTGGATTTTTTTTTAAAGATTATTCACCACTGTAAGTGCTGGAAAGGCTGCTGACTGACTTTGAGCCCCCTTGTGGCCAAAGTGTGCTGCTGTGCTGCTAAACACTCCAATACAGTGAGGAACAGAAGTATTTGAACACCCTGCGATTTTGCAAGTTCTCCCACTTAGAAATCATGGAGGGGTCTGAAATTCACATTGTAGGTGCATTCCCACTCTGAGAGACAGAATTTTTTAAAAAAAGTGCAGGAAATCACATTGTATGATTTTTAAAGAATTTATTTGTCTTGCACTGCTGAACATAAGTATTTGAACACCTGAGAAAATCAGTGTTAATATTTGGTACAGAAACCTTTGTTTGCAATTACAGAGGTCAAACGTTTCCTGTAGTTCTTGACCAGGTTTGCACACACTGCAACAGGGATTTTGGCCCACTCCTCCACACAGATCTCCTCTAGATCTGTCAGGTTTCGGGGCTGTCGCTGAGCAACGCGGAGTTGAAGCTCCCTCCAAAGATGTTGTATTGGATTGAGGTCTGGAGACTGGCTAGGCCACTCCAGAACCTTGATATGCTTCTTACGGAGCCACTCCTTGGTTATCCTGGCTGTGTGC